CTTCTACATCTTAAGTAGAGGATCGCAGTCAAAATATTTTACCCTTTGAAAATGTAGATACGCCGAGTAGCGATCAGTTTTATGAACGATATCTAATCTGTAAAGCTTGTGCTTACTATATTTTTACAAATCAGGAGGGGCCAAATTTAGTAGCACTGTGGATAACGAATCATACAGTATAAATTACACGTGATTAGTGCATTAATGCTTCAGCCTTGATATTTAAAACTAAGAACTATTCTCTTTATCTTTGAGAGCAAAAATACGGAAAGTATTTGGAACCAAAGTTTTATCTCATTTTTAGATAGTCAAGGAAACTGCTAGAAATCTCGACTCACCTTTGTTCAGAGATTGTATAGATTTCTAAGCTAAATAAATCACAAGGATGAGAGAAAGGGTGCTTCAGACAATAGAAATCATAGTATCGATTTTTATAATCATCACTAACTTAGGTGCCTCATGTTTGATTATTGTCAAAATGTTATACGTTGAGGTAAAATTGGCAAACAGTTATTTTCCAAGTAGGGGCCGCGCGCGGAGAGAATGTGGAACTTGAAAAAAATGTGTTATTTCAAGAATTTTACGTGAATACAAAGCTTTGAAATCTGGTAAGTTTCTCATTTCTTTTTGTACCAAAAACAATTGTTTTGACGCGTACGTGCTGCGGGGAATGCGGTAGCGATAGAATCTTTCCTTACTTCAGTTTCTGAAAACCCATTATTAAGACCTTTTTGTAATGATATTTATAAAAACAGGAACGGCAAATACTTCACCACCACCACTCGATCCTAGCGAAGCACTTGAACGATCTGGAAGGCGAGATGACGATGAAGACATACCTGGCACCTCCAACTCATTCTTGGTAGGCCGTTTTTATCATTTATGGACTGAGTATTCCTACTAGAATGCGTTTTACGAAAACATTAGAAAGGTTTCTAATTTTTGTCTCTTCAGCGTCGAAGCCCGGACATTGATTTTAGTTTGCGAAAGAAAAACCGAAAGAGAGTGAC